GGCTGTAGACTGGCCCAGAGTGGCTGCAGACCCACAGACCAGCCCAGCGTGGCCGCAGACCGGCCTTTGCCCACACGAGGAACGTCCCCCGCCAAGGCCGGTTTCCCACCGCTCCCACAGCCTCCGCCGGGACGCGGGGAGCACCTACCCGCACAGGGGCTGACGAGGATCTTGCTCTCCTCCTGCATCTGCTGGCCTTCGGCGTACGGCTCCTCCGACTGTTTGATACCGAACAAATTGCCGGGCTTGAAAAATCTGTAGCCTGGTTGAAGGGATAAGAGCTGGTCACCGTGAACCCTGCCGCACCGCACAACAGGCATCCGGCGCAGACGTCGTTACGCCGGGGACGCCTGCGCTAATTCACAAATAAGCTAAAGCCGACGAAGCCCGGGGGCGCCGATTCCGCCCGTTTTAAGCTTCTGCTGCCTGAAGCGTAATTAAAGGCAGAAGGCAACAGCGGCACCAGGCTCCCTCCTCCTCCTGGCAAGGCGGAGGGCGGGCGGGAGCGCCGCTCCTCGGAAAACGCTTCTTCCCGCAGCCTCTCGCGCGCTCGCCCGGGCGTCCTTCCGTCCCGCGGGAGGCTTTCACCGTCGGATTTCAAAGGCTGCCGCAAAACCGCGGTGAGCTCCAGCCTGAGCCTCCCCGAGCGGGAGAGAGGTCCCCCGTCTTCAGCAGAGGAGCTGGGCCGGCAGAGCGGCCGAAGGACCTGCCTGGAGCCGCGGGCGGGGGATTCCTCCCAGCCGCGCCACGTTCGCGTCCCACCTTCGCCTCACCCCCCAACCCCGGCTCGAGGGGGGAGCGTTGCCGGCACTCAGCCGGACCCGGTGTCACCGCAGGAGCGGCTGCGCTCCGGAGAGCGTGCAAGGCCATTCGCCAAGCCCGCTCCCACGCCAGCGAAGCCCGCCCGGCGCGGTGCCGCCCGCCGTCCTCGGCAGTCACCTGTGCAGGGGTCGGAGGGGATCTCCGCGCCGACAGCATCCAGCTCGTGTCCGGCTCTCGGCACCTCGCTCAGCCTGGGGTAAGGGAGCAGGTTCAGGGCGTGGGCGGGCTGGTCCGGGAGAGAGGAGAAGCGTTTCAGCGGACGGCCATCGCTTTTTGGGGGTTTGTTTCTTTGGGTTTTTTGGCCAGCGGGACTAGGGGAGCGATCGTGCCCCTGTACTCGG